AAAAGAGAAATTTCATGGGTTTCACTGCATTCGGCTGCAACGCAATTAGTTTTACGAAACACCAAGTTGACAGTCCATAACCGTGAAACAGATGAGCCCTGTAGGACCACAATATTTTATCCTTACATAGGGACGATGCTAGGAGTAACCCTATACACGCAAGTGCAGAGGGGAATCCGGAGTTCCGAACTACGCCAACGATCGAAGATCAGGGACGCTGCCGTTTTCGCCAAGGAATCGAAGATAAGGTGGGCCGGACACGTCATGCGATTTTGCGATGACCGTTGGACCAGAGCGGTTACCGACTGGATCCCTCGGGACGTCAAACGAACACCTGGACGACCGCCGGCCCGATGGTCAGACTTCTTCACGAAAGCTCTGAACGAAAGGAATGAAGGACTTCGTGTCCCTCGAGCGAGGAGGATCCACTGGACCACTCTAGCACGCGACAGGGACGAATGGAGACGTTGCTGGCGCCCGCTCGAGCAAATCGATGATCAACGGGACGACAGGTGATACAGGTGATATTAGGGATAAAGAACAGAGGGCAGAAACTTGTTAAAATAAGGGAGGTGCAGAGATGAAAGAGCGATGGGACTCCTTCTATACTACTACTACCAATGAAACTACAGCCTACACCAACTATTGAAAAAGTTGTAGTGAATTTGAACGTACCTTCTTCGCATATACAGCTCTTCTTGGCGATGTTCTTACGCTCACAATATGGAAGACAAACTCCATCGTGACATTCTCCTTCTTCAATGCAGGGCGAACCATTTGGAATAGCTGGAGCACTTGGACATTCTCCCGAATATCCCCTGAACATATTTTCGCAATAACAGTAGGAAAATAGTATTGAAAAGGAATACATATTTTCATGAAATGAAAGTGATACGCCTTCTCCGCTGCACACTGCAGCAACTACGTTGCCTGCATTAGTCCACAAATCTCACCATTTACTGTAACAGCGGTAACAGAATAAGAACCACTTACGTGCAATACGAAGAAGCTTTACACTGCAGTGGATCTCCTGGAAGACATACGTGATCAGCCGGATGATAAGAACAGGTAGTATTGCAGCAGGGTTGATTGTGAGGGGAGCACTGAGCTGATGGTGCCAAACGACACTCAGTTGTGCAACATGTTGAGCTACCTAGAAAAGAAGTAATGAAAAATAATACTTCAATTCAATTACAAAAGCACTGTGAGGGTTTAAAAGCTTATTGCAAATGATCTCCGAAGATCAGAAGGATCCCATTTTTTCGAAAGTGGCAATATTCGGGTATTACATTGATTAGGTTGTTTCAAGAATAATGTCGTCTCGACGCACTTAGCATGGTCGATCGCATTGCCATTAGCACGGACAAGCTAGGTGATCGTTTATAGAATACTATCACTTGAAGATCATCACAGGTTCTCGCAAAGTTTGGCTGAGACTCGATTCCATTGCTCCTTTTGACGCGTCTTCGTAATTATTTTAGGTTTTATTTTAGGTTTCACTTCTCCAAAAAATTCATCTCGGTTTCCCGTAAACATTGTTATCCATTTTATATATTTACGCCTGAATAATACGTTATCTGCAAAGGCTGTGCACTAGATGCGATCACATTCAGCGGATGTTCTTCATTTGTTGAGGTCGCAGAGCAGAGCGCTCGCAGTCGAAAACTTGAAAATATCTGCGCAGGTAAATATCTGAGAAACAAGGCAGCTTAGGATGTAGCGAATATTATCAACACTCTGAAATTCCACTTTCGCGGAATGGAACTGTACCGCCAAAAATTTTGAAAGAACAAAATGGGTAGTGCTATTATTGCCAAAAAACTGATGTATTTCTCGAACATTAACCGAGCGACGCTCTAGAAGCGTTTCAGGCTTGACAAAGGTACTAGCACCGAAGCACCGCGAAAAGTCAGATTTTGTTGGAGCTCCT